GAACAGCGCTAGGCTGGTTTAAATCTTATTTGTCTGACAGATTCCAGTTTGTTCATGTAAATGATAAATCATCTTTAAACTACAGGGTTAATTGTGGAGTACCACAGGGTTCAGTAATTGGGCCAATTCTCTTTACTCCAAATATGCTTCCAATAGGTCAAACTATCAGGCAGCATGGGATAAATTGTTCACTGTTACACTGATGATACTCAGCTTTGCTTATCCATAAATCCTGATGAACTCAACCAGTTAGACAGACTACAAGCATATCTTGAAGACATAAAAAATGTCCACAAAATGCACTTAAAAGCCTTCAGCTGATTCAAAATGCTGCAGCAAGAGTTCTGATGAAAATTAAAAAGATATATATTTCTCCTATTTTAGTTTCCCTTCATTGGCTCCCTGTTTAATCCAGAATAGAATATAAAATTCTCCTCCTCACATATAAAGCCTTTAATGATCTAGCTCCACCATACATCAGAGATCTCATTGTTCCATATGTTCCTAACAGAGCACTTCCTTCTCAGACTGCAGGTTTGATGGCAGATCCTTTAGTTATTGAGCTCCTCTCCTGTGGAATCAGCTCCCGGTTTTGGTCCGTGAGGCAGACACCCTGTCTACTTTTAAGGCTAGGCTTAAAACTTTCCTTTTTGATAAAGCTTATAGTTAGAGTGGCTTAGGTTATCCTGAGCTATCTTCCTTATTTTCTACCTCCTCCTTCCTCCCTGTTGGATGCAGTAAGGGGGAGTCTGGTTTAGCCTATACCGGCTCAGTTATGGTTGAGGTGCAAACACACCCTCCATTTCTGCTATCTGTATGACCCCTTTTCTTTCCCAATAGTTATAATCAGTCTGACAGAGAGAGGTATCCCAATCCTTGTGGTTTTTAGTATAACAATGGCCATCACTGGGCTCTAGATGGACAAACTTTATCAGTTTAATATTTTACTTAGTGCCCCTACACGTGGCCAGTTCTGGGGTGGCCAGGCTCTGGCACTTGGTGGTTGATCTGGCCTCCCCGGCAGCCCCGCTCCATTCTGGACCCTTTGTGGGGTGCCTTGAGACGCCACTGTTGTAAATAAGCGCTATATAAATAAATAAACTGAAACTATCTCTGTAGTTATGCTGCTATAGACTTAGGCTGCTGGAGGACATAATGACCACTTTCACCCTCTTTGCTACATTCTCACACTACTCTCCAATTCTGCATTATTTGCTGTTATTTCAATTTTTAACTTTATGTTCTCTCTCTTTTCTCTTCCTAGAAGCTACACCTGGCCTGACTCTGTGTCTACCTGTGACACCTTTCTGGAGAGAGTTATGATTCTGGCATGTCTGCTTGTCCTGCTCTACCCTGTCTCCCTGGCTGCAATCAGCAGATGAGATGCACCTGGTGACTGCTGCAGTGTAGTGCAAATGTGGAATGCCAAGCACCTGTGTCTTCCCTGATATATGCTCACTCTGACAAGCAGACAGTGCCAGATTTTTGAAAGCCATCGTGTGAGTAGATATCCAGTGTTCCTTCCTGTCTGATCATTGTTTTTTGACCGCGCCTTGTCTTTTAGGATTAATTGGAACGTATGTACCAGACTTTTGTGAAGTGCCTTGAGACAACATGTGTTGTGAATTGGCGCTATATAAAAAATTTTTATTGATACTCAAGGCTTGACTCCTTACTCGCTTCAGAGGTATCTTGGTGCCGAATGGAGACATGGGTTCAAATCCCACTCCTGACATAGTTAATCCCATAAATTATTAAACTTCAGATCAGAATAAATTTAATCCAGAAGGCATTTTAAAGACGTTTAATGGTACGCAAATGAAGAACTCCTTTTCTGTACTTAGGGAATTTTGTTTGCACACAGAACAATTCATTTTATTTCGCTTTCAACAAGCACATGGCAAGCTGGTTCACAGTAACACATGGTCAATGTTGTTTTTGGTCTGATGTAATTGTTTTATAGTTGCAAGAAAAGAAAACAGTTTAATTAAGGACACTGGGTTAAACATCACATTTGATGTAGATTTTCATAGGATTGTTAGATTAATCAGAAAGAAGTTCACACATTACCTCTATGGAGAAAGTAACGAGGGACAATTGCTAGTGCATGTGAAAAAGTAGGAATAGCTAAGTGGCCCTCAGATTACTGCATTTTTCAGTGGCAACTCTCATAAATTGTGAGGGCAGTTAATGGTCTGTGGCACAATACTCAAGAAATGTGTGTTCTTATCACAAAATTTATGTAACTTGCAACTTCAAAGAAGGAAAAGTTATTTATCTATCTTCTACATCTTCTAGATCAGCCTGGCTAGCTCAGTTGGTAGAGTTTGAGACTCTTAAACTCAAGGTCAGGGGTTTGAGACCCACATTGGGTGTTCAAGTTCTCTATCACCCAACATGTTTGTTTGATGTAGGTTTACCAATACTTGACATCCACTTAAACTTCAGTGGTTGTCTTGTCTCTCAAAACAATTTTGCATAAACAGATGGAAATTAGTCTGTCCTCTCAGAGACTTTTGCAAGGCTTGACTCATTGCTTGTTTCAGAGGGTTCTGTTCTCCGATGAAGGCGTGGGTTCAAATCCCACTCCTGACATGGTTAATCCCATAAATTCATGACATCTGAGCAGAGCCTGTGCAGGTACTGAAACCACACAGGGAACAGAGATGTTGAACAAAACAGGCATGTGATCAGAGAACACAGCATTACAAATGTTACATATTGTCCACCGATAACCCCAATGATAAAACCAAGTAATGTGTGTGTACATGTTCATGTGTGGAGCATGCCACAAACTAGACAAGGTTAAAAGAGTCAATAACATTCAAAAAGTCTTTAGCCAGTGGCTTTTAATCTCAACAAGCATGGATGTTAAAAATTCCCAACAATTAAGATCCGATCATACAGTATTTAGTGATCACTCCAGTTAAGATATCAGACTTTATTATACTTAGGAGGTTGGTAGATCACTGCACACAGGACCTGGTGAGAGCGACCCAACCCAAACATAATCAACTCAAAGCTGCAGAAAGTAATCCGTGCTAAGAATGCTCAGATGCTCGCAATTAAGAATGTTCCTAAAGACAAATGCTATTCCATCCCCACAGCCTGATGTCCTCGGGCATAAAAGTAAGTGCAGTCAAGTGGCAAAGGCTCAAAGGAAATGCTGGACTCACCAACGCTCGACCAGGTTTCAGTCAGCAGGAGGAAGTGCAGTCTGTGGAATGTGAAGAAATCATTCAGGCTAAACATTTTTTTGATAGGAACTTAGCGTGCACCAGAGCCATTATAATAGGAGTGGTTAAGGAAATAACTGCAGGTATGCTGGAAAGTAGGAAAGTGGATATCTAAGAATAATTCAAAACAATTTTGCGAGGCCTATTTTGCAAAATGTTCAAGTGTGTTAGATACTACAGCAATATCTGAGCAACATTAGTCTCAGTTGGTCCTGAATCTATTTCCATTAAGTTTTCAAAAAGCATGAGAAGTGAATAAGTGACAGAAAATGACAGGAAATATATCAATTTAGTGTAGAAGGAGCCACAGGCTTAAGAGAGACAAGAACAAAGCAGAACATGAAAGTAACTAGAAATAGAAAAAAACATTGCAAAACACTGTTAAAATTCACAACAAAAACAAAATTACACAAAATCAATCTGCATTACTCAACGACTATTTTTCCCAAACGTTGTCCATGGCCAGCTGTTTTATGGCTTTTTACGATCCACCAATCCCTTGTCTGTGTTAAGCAAAGACACAAAAAGTCTGCCTATTTCAACCAAACCACATTTACATATGAACATCTTTATGTGGCCTTTGACCTTTCACTTCTCAACCCAAATTTTTTTTTGTGTAGACAGAAGGCAAAAACTATTTTTTACAGTACTGTAACAAAAGTGTTTACCTTCTTACAAATATTTTCATGAATGAACTGGTAATGGTCAGGCCACATCATTTATATCAGATTTCAGTCCAAACTTTAACTAGGTCAATCTAAAATCTTTTTTAAATTATTTTATTTTATTTCTTCCCCTTCTATGAACTGCCACCTTGCTGGAATGTTACCAGAGGCCATGTTGCAAAAATGCCCCTGTTAGGGTCTCTCATGGCAAACAGACTATGGGTGATGCGCCACACAAAAGGTGGTTCAGAAGCCTTCATGGAGACTAAGACAACAAGACAAGAGACATTGCCTGGTATGGTGGAGCCAGGGCCCCGCCCTGCAGCCAGGCCTGGGTTTGGAGCTCGTGAGCTAGCGCCTGATGGCCAGCTCACATCTTTCGAGACCCAGCCATGTCAAGCTCGAACAAGTGACGCAAGGCCGTCCCACAGTGGGCCAACCCCCAAAGGGGGAACTATTAGGGATTTGCACAAAAAGGATAGGACAATGGTCAATGGTGGCGGCCTCGACGACCTGATCTCTGGGCGCTTAGACTGGCTCTGGGGACGTGGAATGTCACCTCACTTGGGAGAAAGAAGCTCACGTTTCTGCAGGAGGTCGAGAGATACCGGCTTGAAAAAGTTGGTCACACATCCATGCAAAGCCTGGGCTCTGGAACTCAGCTACTCTTTTACTCTGGAGTGGCCCACAGGGATAGGTGGCAGGGTGGGGTAGGTTTGCTTGTTGCCTCCCAGGCTAAACCCTCTTATGCTGGGGTTTCCCTTGGTGAATGGGTCTCATCACTGCACCTTCAGGTCAGGGAGAGGTCTCTGACTGGCGGGAGGTTCCACGCTCTGGGATTCCGTCATTCAGCTAGGGAACTTTAATGCCCATGTGGGTTGCGACAATGATTGGAAGGAATGGCACTCCCGATCTGATCCCGAGTGGTGTTTCGTTATTGGACTTCTGTGCTAGTCATGGATTCTCCATGGTTTGGGAACCAGTGGATTTCATCTTTGCTGTTTGCAGATGATGTGGTTCTTCTGGCTTCCTCTGGCCAGGGTGGTTCACAGTTGACTTCAAAGCAGCAGGGATGAGGATCAGCTCTTCCAAGTCCGAGACCATGGATTTCAACCCGAAAAAGGTGGCATACCCTCTCCAGGTAGGAGGGGAGTCCTTGTCTCAAGTGGAGGAGTTTAGGTATCTCGGGGTCTTGTTTACAAACAAAGGGAGAATGGAGCAGTAGATCGACAAATGGATTGGTCCGGCTACCGCAGTAATGCGGTCATTGCTCTGGTCTGTTTTGATGAAGGTAGAGCTGAGCAAAAAGGCGAAACTCTCAATTTACTGGTCGGTCTATGTTCATACCCTCACCTATGATCATGAACTTTGGGCCATGACCAAAAGAACAAGATCCCTGGTACAAGTGGCTGAAATGAGCCTCCTCCACAGGGTGGCGGGCACTTCCTTGGCGATAGGGAGAGGAGCTCAGCCATGTGGGAGGAGCTCGGAGTAGAGCTTCTGCTCCTTTACATTGAGATCAGTCAGCTGAGGGGGCTTGGGCATCGGTTCTGGATGCCCCCTGGATGCCTCATTTGGGGCTGTTGCACTGTTGGAGCAATTTTGGTAGGCCACCCACTCCTGGGAAGGTTCACCACTGTTCCATGTTTTCTTCATTTGTGCACAATACCTCTTAATGGTATTTTCTGGAATTTTGTTAAACTTCACTGTCCTTCTCCTTCATGGACCAGCAGACTTTACATAAGGAGTTGTATAACACACTTTCTGGTTGACCATCAAAACAGCCACAGAGGCACAAAACATTAGCATCCAGATGAGCAGCTAGTTTGCCAGTTCTGCATGGACATATAGCCAGATATAGCCAAGTGGCAGGCTTCCATTATCTTCAAGGCTACATGTTGTGATTGCTTCCTGCTGCAGCCTGTCAGGATTAGCCATTGTGGGCAAATTGGAGTGGATGGGCTCAAAATTGAGATGATGCATAAAAAAATACTCTCAGTCAGCAGCAGGGGGCTAGAGAATATACACTTCAGACTGAATAAACTTTAAACAAAAATATGCACTAACATTACTTCTTCAATGAGATACTTTCATGATTGCTTTATTTTTTTCCTTCTCTCTATTTTTTCTAGCTCTCCCTTATCCCTGCTTTCATAGAAAAGCGGAGCTCTGATTTGGAGTCACACCCAGTCAGGATGGTCAGCAGTAACAGGATTATCCGGGGAAGAGAGCGTGACGACAAGCCAGTTTGCAGCCAAGAGCCGTCATTATTGAAATACATTATACACTCAGAATGAAGCTGTTGAAGGCAAGCTGCTGTCGACTTAATTACTGCCAAAGCACTTTCAACTGTGGCACATTTTAATAATTTCTTACCCTGTCACCCTATTGTTTCTGCTCATTGCTTTGGGAGACGTTAGAAAACCGTTGCTTTGTGTCGATTCCTGATTTACCCGCTCAACTGTTAATTTCAACAAGCTCTTTTTGTCATGGTGCGACATTTTGGTCTTTGCTTTTGGTTTTGTGTTTTTGTTTACCTTTTAGCTAGATGTTTCTTATTTATGTTTTGTGTTCATGTTAGTTGTGGTTTTCTGTTTTGGTTATCTTCTGCCCCCCAGTGTGCTCTGCTCGCTCCTAGTTCCCTTGGCGTTGCTTTCCTGTTTTCTTAGAATGGTTTCCTTATTATGATTATTATTATTATTATTTATCAGAGTTTTCTGGCATTCTCTTATTTATTAGTTTCTTTTCTGTTACTCCTCCCATCATTTGTTTTCCCCTTTTAGTTATTACTCGGTTTATGTTCCCTTTATTCTCCTGTTCTTCTTAGCTTTGTTCCCCTAGTTCATCTTTGTTCTCCAGCCTCTCCTTTATAGGTTAGCTTTAGTTATTGTTTACTTTTATTCTAGTCCTCGTTTCCTCTGCTTCATTCTTAGTTTTATTCTATCAGTGTTGGTTTGAGTTTGTTTACTTTG